ATCTGCATCACCATCTGTCTCCATCGTAAGTTGGCATCCTTCGGCACAGACAGGTCCACCGACGCGGCGACACCTTGCTCACCCGGACCCGTACTCGTTCCAGAACGGATCTCCTCTTCCATCGCAGGCAGGTCCACTGTCTGAGGAAGGTCGTCGTCGTCGGATGATGTAGCAGGAATATTTTTTTTTCTTCTTTCTCTCAGTTGTTTTGAGATGCCGTTTCACTTCTGACTCCAGTGTAATAAAAGGACTCAGACACTTCTTGCTGACTCCGTGTCCTTTATTTGGGGTTCGCGTTCTCCTTCCCACACGGCACTCCTCCTGAGACTCTCTCCCTGGCAGCCCCACATCTGCCTTCGCTCCCGTAGCCTTCCACGCTCCTGCAGCTCCGCTGCAGGCTCTTGGTACAGCCCTCTGGCTGCTCCCCCAGCAGCTCCATCTCTGCTCCCTGTTCCTCCGTGCGTGGCGATCTCGCCACCTCCCAATGTCAGCCCTTCGTGGCCTCTATGGCTATCTCGCCATTTCCTACCTCAATCCTCCACTCTCTCTTCCACCCCGCTGGCTGGCGCCGTCATGAGCCCCTCAGCCACCAGGCTGAGGCACGGCGACCACCCAACGTGTTCACCACCCTTCACTCCCCCGACTGACCCAGATAGCTTCCTGTCTCCCCGCTATAACTTCTCCCCCACGTCACCCTGACTCCTCCCTCTCGGATCGTCATATCCGCCCCGCCCATTTACGCCCGCATTACAGTATCATCATCATCATGGCGTGAGCAATACCCGCTGGGATGCATAGTGTTTATAGGAAAGAACACGTAGAGCCAATCAAGGCAGCACAGGGACACTGCTATTTTAGCTGCTCGCAGGTGCAAATTACAGAGCAACGGTGTGACACCCATTAAAATCATTCACATTTGTGTCTAATGGGAACACAGCCCAGATGGTCCATAGAGGCTGACGGTGCTAATTGATGGTTTTTTTGGGATGAAAACAACCCATTGTCCATCATTACTTACATACTGGAAAATATCCACGAACACAATAAAAATTTACATTTATACGGCGCATTTCATTCGAGAATCTCATGTAATAATTACAGAAAATGCATACACTGAAATGCTCAAATGTTCACGTTGTCGTTATCAAAGTGACTCCACCTTAATATGGTCAGTGTTGTTTCTACCTGGGGAAGGCGCAGCGTTCTTGAGACAGTATTGGAAATTCCACGTTCCCTTGACAGGTGCAAGTCTACCCATATATAATTCACGAGCCTTTTGCCCGTCCAAGGAGGGGTGTATTGCAGTAAATCTGAATCTTGCAAGCGAAAAGCAGAACGCGACGTGATAATCATTGCATCCATTCATGTGCATTTGTAAGGCCACAGTGACACACTTATTTCATATTCTTTGGGTCTTTCGGTAAAGCCACGTAGATAGAAAAAATAATAAAATCACGACGTTTTGATCGCAACACAAGCAATCGTCTTCAGGTGAAGACGATTATTTTTTCTATCGACGTGGCTTTACCGAAAGACCCAAATAATATGAATTCCTGCGGTCACGAAAGCTTTAAGTCAAGATTTACACGTATTTCATTTAAAGGTTATAATATCTTGTTCATCATGACGTCCTTTTTACTTTGATGTCTCAACAGCGTTACGGAGACCGCGTGACGTGAGGGTTCTGCCTTTGTAGTGAGGGTTGTGAGTTGACGCCCATGTGAAGGCACGTCACCCGCTAATTATTATTAATGAGGAGGGGGGTGTCCATTTGGAGGACGTCACCTATTCATGATTATTAATGAGGGGGGTGTCCATGTGGATTGACGTCACCAGCTCATGATTATTAATGAGGGGGGCTGTTCCATGTGAAGTGACGTCACCTGCTCCTGATTATTAATGAGGGGGGGGGGGTTCATGCGGAGTGACGTCACCCGCTCATGATTATTAATGAGGTGGGGGTTCATGCGGAGTGACGACACCCGCTCATGATTATTAATGAGGGGGGCTGGTCGACGTGGAGTGACGTCACGCGCGGGACACACAGACATTCTTGGCTCATTATGGTAGTAAATGACGAGTGAGAATACTGTACTGCCGTGATCGGGGAGAATAAATGTCATCCCTCTTGGTTCGCACACGATACCTCCTCCAATTTGAGTTTCGCTTCATCACAACGCGCGTAGAGTGGCGACACCTCGTGGTCACACTGCGGCATGGCACTTAAGAGTCACCAACAGCGCAAATCGGTCAACTTGCAATTACGTGGACGGTCCAACTCATGTTTTACCACGAGCAGTGGTAGCCAGGGCCCCATGGGGTAACGAACAGTCCTCAACCCAGATTGTCCACAATATCTCTCTGGGCTTGTCTAGGAATAAGAGCCATTGCCCAAAAGGTGACCTTCGATTAGCACGATTGGCTACGTACGGTGCGATAGAAGTTCATTATAGCTTTTCATGCTAAGGCGGTATTACTGTCACGTGTTGAATGTTGTGATAATTTTGCTTGTGCACCAATGGAAACGTGGGATCACCAAAAAATTATCGGCAGGGGAAGTGCATTTACAAGTCCAGTGTGCGAACCACGCAGGTTAATTCAGTAGCGTAACGAGTGTGGTGGTAGGGGGTGCATCGGACCCCCGTGGTGGTCAAAGCTACGAGTTGGATCCCACCGTGACAACCACGAATAGATAATGTTATAAACAACAGTGTAAAAAAACAACACACTTATTTAAAACGCGGTTAATTTCTTTTTTTAATAAAAATGTTTTCATTTACGTTCCACGTTTCATTTTTATTTCATTCAAATCAAATATTGGGGCCCCACTTGACCGATTGCCGCACCCCCCCCCTCCCCCCCTGAGCTGATAATTAATGTAGTTAACGCCACTGGGTATAATGCCAAGGCTGCGTCCACATTGATGCGCTCTGGAGTAGCTGGATTCAAGTTTAAATTTTCATTTATTCGGTATAGCCCTGTGAGCCATGCGGCTCTTGAGTCGGGTGCAACCGCAACAAACAAAATATCAACAGAGAACATCTTACAGCGACGACGCGCCACAGAAACATCCTGGATAAACCAGCAAATCTTCCAGAAAAAAAAACCCCCACCGTGTTACAACGCTGGGTGCAAATTCCATCGGAGCGTTGTGCGCTCCTCGGCGTCCGTTGCGGCTGGGCGAGAACGCGGGACAGCGCTCCCTGCTGGCGAACCTGGGGGTAGTTGCACCTCCAATTCAACAACAACAAGCGCCATTCGCCACTAAGTGGCGGTGACGTCACCACGACGCTTGTGCCAGGCTAGGTGCACGTTGATGCCACGTGAAGTGTCGAATGCCCGCTGGCAGGAGGTCACGGGGCAGACCCAGCAGGTGCCACGGGTCGACTGACTGAGACGACTGGGCCGATGCACCATCTGTGCCCCCCTACTGTGGCAACCTCGAATTCACTGCAATGGACCCCCCCCCCACAGTTCACTCCCACAGGACACAAGCTGCTGATCGTCATACGATTATGGTGGTACTCATTCAATCTCCTGCATGAACACAGACGGTGAGGGAGGGGAGTTAAGAAACGCACCTATTTGTGTCTTAAGGGCCGTCCACACATCGTCACAAATGTCTGACCCCCCCCCCACCCGGGTGCGTGACGTCATTTATGAACGGCCCCTAAGCCACTTCGTTGAGCTGTCATTTGTGGCCAGGTCGCTTCTGACAAAAGGAGCTGTATGTATCAGTGGGCCTTACCTGGTAAAAAGAAATATAGTTTATAGTTTAAATAAAAAAAGTGTATAGTTTATCTGTCAAATAGAGCTTCATAGCTCATCGGATTTCTCCAGGATAAATAAACGTTCTGATCAATACATATTTAATTACGTACAACGCAACATTATGTTAACTTCTTGTAAAAGTGATAACCTATATTGATCAATCATTAAATTTCAACGTCCATTTCAGTCTATAAATTGTGGATAATCATTCAATTCAGAATTCCATTCAATTTTTTAAAATCTACTTTTCTCTGCCTCGTTAGTCACGTTTACCCGGGTTTCTCGTGTTCCGACCACATTTTGATTCGCTCAATCAACCCGAATGAAACATTTGCATCACATTTGCATACCGCGACAAATATCGAACCGTTTAACACTCGAATCCTCATGAAGTATATTTTTAAAGTAAGTTAATCATAGATTTTCAAAAGGACAACAGCGTGAATGGAACTCGGTACCACTTAATGTGGCCAAACTTCAATCGCAGCGATTTATATCCAAAGCTCGTGAGAAGTGAATTACAGCTACAATATCTGATAAACCAAGACCGTAATTATAATATATATTGGGGGGGGACACACCCCCCCCCCCCAATATTCAAATATGCTCAAAATGCCCCCCCCCCCAATATATTGCTATAAAATAGAATTCTGTTATTTGATTGTTGTTATGATTGTACTTTATTAATCCCTAATCTTTGCCATTACATACAATGAAACAAGAAAAGGTAAAAAAGAAAACTGAGCAATTTAATACAATACACTATTAGACATTATTGTCAAAAATACATAAAAAGTCCATCCTATGTGATAGTGAATTCTTTTATATTTTAGGCAGGAAATGGCAGGAAATGAGTTTTCAAATTTAGATTTTTTTCTGTGGGGGGGCCCCCAGACCCCCTGGAAGATTTGCCCCCCCCCCCATGTTGACTCCATGGCCAAGGCCTTGTGATAAACCCACTCATTTCAAACGATTATTATCATCGCACAATCCACTGCTGTTGGCCACACACAACAATTATAACCACTTAAAGTTTTGCCACTGCAGGTGATTAAAATATACTCCACATATATTTATTTTTTCTATGGACCCGCAGAGCAATTAAACTCACAGCCACCGTAGTTAGGGGGGTCACCATGCAACGTGCTGGCAGCGAATCGGCCCTTATGCTTGTTTGTACTTTGCGCTCAAAGCAGTTTTGTTTAAATATTTCCTTCTCTCTCTCTCTCTCGAGTTACGCAACCTCGCAAGGGTTTAACCAACATCGCAAGCCGCACGCCATCGCTACTGTACGACCGCTTAGCGAACAAAACGCCTTCGCGCACACCTCGAACGCGCCTGTTCGACGTTTCGTGCGCACTCCTTTTTTTCGGACTAATCTCTTTGCCGGTCGCGTGCGCGAATCATGGAGAAGCGTGCGGAGAGAAGCGTGGAGAGAGATCGCTCCGTTGTCCGGACTGTGCACCTCACGACGGCCATCTACGCGTGCTGCTTCTGGATACAGCTCGGCGTTTTGCCCGTGAGTGAGCGATTTAAACGAGACCAACACGCTCATGTCACGCTGGCTCCATCCGTAGTCCGCCGGGAGTTCATTGCCAGTCACGCGGGGTCACTGGCCGGGTCCCGTGGTGGCCTTTCGTGTGTGGGGGGCCTCTCCTGACTTGCGACCACCGCGACAATGCACGCGATTTGTGAAACCCCAGCGGGTTTCAAACGTCAATTTGCAAAGAAAAGTTAATTGACGAACGCACATCTTCTAACGCCGTCGATTGCCCGGCATGGTGTACGTAAAGTGTATTTGTGTTACCGTACACGGTGTTTGGGCACTTGCATTCTATTCATTGTCTCTGTGGGTATGTCAAGCGGTGGTTTTCAGTGGGTGGCTCTTGACAGCCACAGTCTTGAGTTCACGTTGCCGGCTGTGTGGGTGGGGGGTGACATTGCATTTTTTTCAATTCAGCGCTCCGAACACGGCAACCGATTGCCAACCGAGGCTAACGTCAGTGGCGAGTGATATTAGAAGCAGGCTCTAACCGACCCACGCTGACCAGCGTGGTGAAGTATGGTCAAACAACCCGCATCCATCTCTTCAATAACCTGAAGAGATGGATGCAAATCATGGCACACACGTGATTGTTTTTTAGTGTTTAGTTTTGTGGTCCTTCGATTGGCACCGTTGGCTACGTAGGGTGCGAAAGAAGTTCGACAGACAGTGCATACATGCACGTTCACAATGTTAAAGTACCAGGCCGTTGATTAGTAAAGTTCTGTTGCAAGGCAAAGTGTTGGGGCAAGTGCTGCTAGCGAGCACCTATGAAGGCCGGCACGGCACACGAGGGGGGTGGGTGGCCAGCAACCACGCCCGACCGCCTTTGTCTCCCCAGTGGCGATGTTTACACACCGCACCAGGTACTCATTTGAGGCTGAGTCGACCTAGGGATGGCCCAGGACCGGTTCAGATAATCGTCACCGGTGTTGGCCGTGAGCGGGAATCAAACTCGGGTCGCCGGGTTCGTAGCGCAGCGTAGCGCTAACCACTACACCACCGCTCCCCGTAAAATAACCATAACCACGAATCCACACACACACAGCATCTCCGTTTACGAAATTGATTCGAGTTACACAATAAGGAGACTATGATCCAATGCATGGTATAACGCAGCGCTGCGCCGTGACACGTTTTCATTGCTTAATCGCTATCCATCATTGAGCCTTAAGGGATTTAGCAGCAATCACCTGCTTAGGCTGAGACGTTTGGTGTTTTGACTAATAACTGTGCAGTGCACCATCCCTCTTGAATCTATAGATGTATTGTTCTGTAATCAATAATGCTTGTACTCGTCTATCACGCGTGAGAAAGCCAGTGCTTTCTGCAGTATAAAAGTGTTTGGTGGCAGATTAATACTGCTGCTGCTGTATGTGCATATATACATTTCTAATTAATGTAATGCATTAAGAATTGTTGAAAAACAAGATTGTCTTCGAATTAGTTGTGTTTGCTATCAATGATGAACAACAGACATGCCGATGAAAAAATAAGAAGAGGTTTTACCCTTTCTGGCAATAAAACAGGAGGTGTTAAAATGTTCAAACACCAAATAGAAACCTTCTACAAAGCATCAAGTCTGAATTAACCACACGTACTTGTGGCAAAACATGCAAACAAAAACATGCTCTGATAATTTTTGCAATGTCTTTGAAACTGATTGGCCTACACCAGAGAAAGCCTTCTCTATGGGCTTGTCTCACCATCAGTGTTAGAGCAGAGAACGCCAATAGGCGAACATCACAATGGCGATGCAGCTATCAGAAAACTTATAGCCCAGAACGACCAGTTATACATAACAGACATGCCACGTCACATTCCAGGAAATGGCTCTGTCCGTTAATAAATCAACAATTACCGTTCATTTTCCCGCACCTCCGATTAGCAACGGTTGGCTACGTACGGTGCGAAAGAAGTTCAACATGCTTACATACAACATTGCTAATGCAACAAACAGACCCATCATAGACTGGCACGTGACAGCGTGGACACGTGCCCAGGTGGGGTCGTGGCGCCAGACTGCTCCGTCGAAGCACCGTGCGGTGGCCTTCACGGCCGCCTGGCTTCATGTGGAGTGGCCCCCCCTGCTAGACCAGAGGTCGCAACCGGGTACCCGATACCCGTACCCTACCCGATACCCGGCTACCCGTACCCGGCCGTACGGGTACCCGTTTGCGACCCTGGTGCGGCCGGGTACGGGTAGGCCGTGAGTCACTGGTGAGTCACCGTTTGTCACTCATTTCCCAACGTCTTGTCTCTTCTCACAGTTCAAGTTCTTAGAATCAACCCACCCGCGCCTGCAACATGGCTTCGTCCCAGAGGTCGCAATCAGGTACCCGATACCCGTACCCTACCTGTACCCTGCCGGGTACGGGTACCCGTTTGCGACCCTGGTGCGGCCGGGTACGGGTACGGGTAAGGAATCAAAACCCGTTTGCGACCTCTGTGCTAGACCCACACGCCGGATATCGCAGAGGCCCGGTGCCCTGCTCTGCCCACTCGACTTTGTTGAGCCGATTCTCTCTCCCTTACAAAAAAAAACCCTTTGGCTGAAGGTCACCCGCTAGGCTGCCTGGTTGAGACAACCTATGGGGGTGAATGCATGTTGAACTTCTTTCGCATCGTACGTAGCCAACCGTGCTTAATCGGAGGTGCGGTGGGGTGGGGGGGACACACCAAACTAAAACAAGCAGTTCCGAAGAAATGAGTTTTTACAATTTTAATGTCGAGGAGAGGTCTGATGCCGGGGCGATCGAGCTGGACATCCAGCCAGTTGTGTACGTGGTGTGCTGGGGGTGCTTAGTGCAAGGAGTGTAAATTGCCCCGGGTGGCTGTGTGACCGTGGCATCCCAAATCCACATTCCCCATCGCCCCTCAACAGCTACCATCAAAATCTGCACCATCGCAGTTTATTTTCACCTGAAATGTCGTCCAGTGTCTCAGCCCCATAATCCCTCTGGGGATCGATCAAATCAGCACCACTTTATGGAGTGGTTGTCCAGTGGAGAGAGAGATAGAGAGAGACTCGACTCCCACCGTAGCAATGAGGAATTTCCACCACTGCCTTCAAGGCTGTATACAGGAGATGAATACTGCCTCAATGCTCAGTTGAGCAGGACATCACTTTGTTTATGCCTCGTCTATACGTTCCCTAACACATCCGACACCTGAAACCACATCTGCACAAACCACACCAGATGCGGATAGCTGATGCCCGAATGGAAAATGTAAAACTGACCAGTGTCAGACTGTGGTCATCCAGAACAGACCGTACAACGCATGCGATGCCCGATCCACAAATACGAAGGAGACGTCGCAGCGATACACTCCGCTGCTCCTCACGTGGCTATCTGGCTTGGCCACCTGAACGTGAAGTCGTTTGCTCTGCATCTACATCAGCAGTCACACGACAAGAAGAAGCCGACATTTACCAGCCCTGTCTACATTCACCATCACGGCCCAAACTCACAAATCACAGTCTGCATTCACCCCCACCACATACTCATTTCACCTCCAGCTCTCGCCTTTGACCCAGGCCCCGTAGCGTCTTAGAGGGGGAGGGGGGTGAGGTGCTGGAGGACGATGAGCCCCTACTTGCTGAATGCTTATCCTCACTTCTAAATTCCTACAGCTTTAAATTTGCTAGACCGTGACTGCATCTCAAGTCGTTATATGCTCTCCCTTCACGCTCCAGTGTTGCCACCACACTTTGCTCTGAGCCTGTCTCGCCGCTGATGCCACCGCTATCACCGCCGCTGCCGCCACCACCGCTGCTGCTGCTGCCGCCGCCGCCGCTGCTGCTGCTGTTGCCACCGCCACCACCGCTGCTGCTGCTGCTTCTCAGTATCTGTCCAGGAAACTGGACGTGGACGCGGTGCAGTTCGGGACGCTGCAGACCTTCTTCGCGGTGGTGCAGCTGCTGGGAGGCTCCTTCTTTGGGAGGTGACGCGAGCGATGGGGCAGAGGGGAAAGCCGGTCCGACGGGAGAGCTCCTCCTCTTTATCTGCTGGTGATCTGAATCGGAGTCAGAATATTTGTTTACGCTGCAGAAGGAATTCGATGAGCTTCGGCGCTCTTTTTCAATCCTTTATATTAAGTTCACTTGCTTGCTTGCGCGCTTACGACCGTGCAAATCTTTCGGTCGTTTTTTAACCCACTTCCCGTGATCCAATCGAGCTGACATTTTGCACAAAGACTCGTTGTGCGTGACAATTTATTTTCGTGAAATTTTTTTTCCATAACTTTACACTTTTTAGGATTTTTTTTTATATTTAATTACCAATTGCTTAATGGTGGCAGGAAATCATCTGCCCCATAGGTGGCAGCCATCTCAAGCCAGAGGACGAGAGGACTCTAGCCGCCACGCATATAAAGGATTTATAGTGAAAAACTTTGTTTTTACGGGACAATTTTTTCACAGGTGTCCAGTCGGGGCGGGCGACAAACGTTACGACAACGACCAATACAAAACACGACAGGGTTGCAAAGTATAGGAAAGGTAAACAAAGAACTGAAAAATATACAGATACAACTGGATTATTTGTGATGTGAGGGTGGTGCAGGGTGGGGGACCAACCCCGCCGATCCTATTATCCACGGGGTTATCCACAAATTCACTCTTCTTATCTGTAGGAATAGGACAAATAGGACCGTGAATAATTGGAGTTTTTGTGGACCCAACAACCCCCGTGGATAATAGGGGGTTGCACACAAGAGGAGTTCACCTGTAATTGGCTACCAGGTTGCGGAGACAACGCAATGGGGCATCATTTAAATTGGTTATCCAGTTCGTCAATTAAAATACAAGGTAAGCACGAGGAGTTGTACTTTTCGAGTGCTTAAATAATGCAGAAACTCAAAGGGCCTTTCATCACATCTCATCCCAACCATTTCATTGCCCTGCTCTATTGTAGCCGAGGGAGGCCCCGCGGCAGCTGCCTCTGTGTGGCCCAAGGTGGGTGCAGCCCTGGCTTTCATTCATCCCAACGTGTAACGCACTGCACAGTATTCGCCCACTGCTCTAAGAGACAGAACGACTCGGAGGGGCAAGGGACCCCAAGACAAGCGGGGAGGCAGCCAGGCAGTGAGCTGGTGGAAAACTTTGCCCAATCTTCGATTTAAAGCTTTCGTGACTGCAGGGATTCATCTTCTTGGTTCTTTCGGTAAAGTTACGTAGAAGGGAAATAATAAAATAATAAAAATAAAACAATAAAATAGTTCTCACGACGTTTCGGCCACAACGCAAGCAGCCGTCCTCAGGTGGAGAACAGGTCTGTGGGGAAGACACCAGGTGGTGTTTCATTCAGACGCTGTCTTCCCGACAGACCTGTTCTTCACCTGAGGACGGCTGCTTGCGTTGTGGTCGAAACGTCGTGAGAAATATTTTATGTTTTATTTGTATTTTATTATTTCCTTTCTACGTGACTTTACCGAAAGAACCAATAAGATTTGCCCAAACTCTAAGGCCCTCTAAATATTAAGATATGTTCAGTGAAATCATGCGTGTTTATATATGTCAGAGGAAACCAGAGTGCCCGGAGAAAACCGACAAGTGGCAGGGAAGCAGCACTCTATCCCATACAAGTGGAGCAGATGGAGATTAGTCCACATTTTTCCGTACTGCCATCTCCTGGCGAGTCAGGGTATGGCACCTCAACGCCATCGGGCAGGAAGTTTCACAACGTGTGTGTGTGTGCGTGATCCACTAACCGTCGCCTCCACATTGCTGGATAACAAGCGTTGTAACTAAATGGTTATTTTTCGATTTAAAGCTTTCGTGCCTGCAGGGATTCATCTTATTGGTTCTTACGGTAAAGTCACGTAGAAGGGAAGTAATAAAATAATAAAAATAAAACATAATAAAATAATATAACAATATAATATTTTTATTATTTTATTACTTCCCTTCTACGTGACTTTACCGAAAGAACCAAGAAGATAAATGGTCATTAGTTTGTCAGAGGTGCACAATGCCTATAGACCAAATCACCGGGAATGCGCGATCACACGTCTCGCAAGCTACGCAAAGTTAAGCCTGGATAGTTTTTGGGTGATTAACCACCAGGAAACGGAAGCTATCTGGTCCATTGGTCTGCGGGGCAGCGTGTTTGGCAAGAGAGGGCAGTACAACAACGCCCATAGCTTTGCACACGGGGGCTTGCGTCGTTCCACATTGAGGTTTCCCCCCTTCAACAACCCGCACTGACCAGTAACGGTAAAGTATGGTCAAACGAGCCCGACGAGCCATACGGCATTGGGAGACCCTCATCCAGTAGAATATTAACAAAATACCTGAACACGAATGTGTACGGATTTGAATGCACGTACACGTATCTGTACACGTACCTGGCACGTGCGTCTACCAGATGAGAACAATACTGCATTGTGGGAAAAAACGCGACGGCTGCATATCGTGCAGAGGGAGGGGTGAGGGTGTAAATAATTAAATGAGTGCACTGAAATCGGTGGGTGATTAGGGAAAGACTTTGAAATTAAACGTAGTTTTCTCGATATTTTTTCCCTCTATTCGTTTAAGTGGAGGGTAATCTACGAATGGATCGCGTCTTAGTATCTTTTTATCCCTAAACGAAACATTGACGGGACTTCCTTGGCGGTGGTTCACATGGACAAGGACGAAATGCACCACAATCACCGGCAACAGCAACAACTACAAATTGCCGTTCGCCACTAAGTGGCAGTGACGCCACCACGGCTACGTGCACCACCATCATTATCGCCATTAACACTGCTCTTTTCGGAGAAACTTAAATACTAAGCTGACTTACAGGCAAAGAACATTTCCCAAAATCATCATCAGCCTGGTCTTGTACAGGGTGTCCATGGAAGTAATATCATGGCTGCCACATCTACCTTTGCTCGTATGTATGTTGAACTTCTTCGAACCGTGCTAATCCGAGGTGTGCGGGGGAAGGACAACAAACTAAACACAAAAAATCAGTTCTAAAGGAATGAGTTTTCAAACACGTTGATAAATATGGAAATGCGTAATGTGAACGTTTTTTTTGGTACGTGCTTTCGAATGGCCTTGCGTTGTCATTTTGTAACGCGCCGCAGGTTCGGGGACGTGTTTGGTGGGCGGGCGGCACTTTCCGTGGCTTATCTCTCGGCGGCGTTCGCTCACTTACTCCTCGGCCTGTCCAGCAGCATCCCCCTGCTCTTCATCTCGCGCCTGCCCTCCATGTTCATGCACGGATTTCAAGGTGACGACCGCACGGCAGGCTGAGAAAAATAAAATCAAAACTAAACTACTTTTTATTTTACCAGGTAAGGCCCACTGAGCTGTATACAGTTCTTTTTCAGAAGCGACCTGGCCACAAATGATAGCTCAACCAAGTGGCTCACCGTGTGGAATTTTATAACAGCCAAATACTCCAAACGAGTGTTTATAAATGTGGAGGGAAACACCGGAGGACCCGGAGAAAAATACGCACGACCACGGGGAGAGAGACATGCAAACTCCAAATATACAGCAGCAGGCGTCAGGGTCGCAATCGAACCCACGACCTCCTGTATACCAGGCAAGGTAGTTACCACCTCACCACCGTGGCACCCTTTTGGGACTGTGACATGTCCCAAGTGGTAGCATTTCCACGAATGTTAGAGAGGTCCATGGCTCAAACCCAAGGGAGATAACATCTCGAGGGAGATAACAAGTCGCCAGGGACTAGGTGGTGGCACGAATCGGGCAAGCCAGAGTAGCTGTGCTTGCCTGGGGGCCGTTATACCTCGGGTTGCCATCCGTCGTGGTTCTCCCAGCAGTGTCTTTCTTTAGTTCAAGGTAGCTGTCCTATTTAAAATCTGTAAGTCTTCCCAAGGCATTAGGAGTTCCGATTATTTTGTTAGTGGTGAAATAATAGACCACAGAAGACAATGCATGTAATTATCGTTCTCCCCCGTTCTGGTATTGTGAGATATATTTCTTCCCGTGATTTTAGATTGAGGAGGCATTTGTTTGGAACTGCTTTTTGTGTTTAGTTTGTTATTTGTTTGCACGTGGGAATTTCTTTGCATGCAAAGGGCTCGCACTCAAAAGCTCCAAAAATAACAATAAAAGATATATTTGCTGCACTGTCATCTCCTAACCACCTCGCAGACCACAGCGAGTTTACAATCTGTGTGATTCACCAATCCTTTCCACAAAAGTTCCGGGAGCAGTGGCACGCACCACCAAAAACAGCAACGGATGAGGAATGCATCCAATGAGCTGGCAGAGCCATTTGATTAATTGCAGTGCTTTAATTCCTGCTTAATTTTTTTCCCTTTGTATTTGCGTTTTATGTGTTAATATTTAAATGTTTTGTTGCAACGTATGGCAAGGCAGGTGGCTTAAACGCCGGGTGTCCTGTTTTTTGTCATGTATTTGAATACGAATGGAGACCTCTTAACAAATTTGCTTCAGTGGTACACGGAGCAGATGTTAGCCATCCGTTTCATTTCAATATAAACCATTCTCTCCCTGTCATCTGTAACCTCTGTTTCAACCACTTATTGTTTGACAAATGCTGAGACGCGGTCATGCTCTGAGAGTGTTCTGACGCATGGGGGTAGTTTTTTTTTGTTCTTCTTCCGACTCGACTTCAACATTTAACAATTCCAAGGTCACGCGCGTAAAGAGTATAGTGACCGAGACACGCGCACATGATGTGTTGACGTTCGCGGAGAAATCCTAGGACATTTTTCAGTTTCTCAAAACCAAAACTCTTTTTTTCTTTTTAAAGGACAGCCTTGGTAAAGCAAACATACTTTTAATGCACTTTATTAACCACAACAAATATGTATTTTTTTTTCATACATTCTCATACATCAACTTTATGTGTAGACATTTAATGTCATTTGTTGTATAGTGGGCGGAGCAGTGGCGCAGTGGTTAGCACACTGTGCCATGGACCTAGCAAACTGAGTTGGATTGATGGCCGCGGCTAACTTAACTGCTGAGTGATGTCTGAACTGGTCCTGGGCCTCCCCTCGTCTCTTCAGCAGCGGATCGACAAAGGGCTCAGGTAGACTTTCATAAAGTGGAGTAATTGTTAGCAAGGTAGCTGACTCGGAGCATAATATCTACTCTAAATATGAATAGTGTACAATCTTTGGCCATGCTGTATCATTCATGGGGATTGTTTAACCATACTTTCACCATGCCGGTCAGCACTTGCTGGTCAAGTGAAGGCTCAGGGACCGGTTCAGATGTCACTCATCACTGGTGTGACCTTGTGACCAGGATTCAAACTCGGGTAGCCAGGCCTAAAGGGAAAATTTCTAACTCCTGCACACCCACTCCTCACTGTAAATGTAAACACCTCTGTTGATTTCCACGTAGGTTTTGTTAACAATATAACCAAATCCAAAACTCGATACAAGCTGGCATTGGAATGTTCCCTTAACTTTATTACAGCTGCCTTACCTTACTATGCGTTTACAGGTTTCATAAGAGAAAACGACTCTTGCTGGAATCTCACCGTGTTAAGCAGAGGACATTGAAACGAACTACATTGCACTAATCGCACTGCCCAAGGATGCTTCCAGCCTTCGCTGAGGTCATGAGCCACAGTAAATGTTGCATGTCGATCCGTGGGACACGCGGGAATGAATGCTCTGCTTCACAGACAAGGCTCTGTCGATGGGCCGGTGATATTGCAAAGCTGAAGCACATTCACCGCGTGTTGAGGAGGTTTGTGGTTCAAACCCCACGGCTGCCCTGGGTAGAACCGCGAGTTTCTATCAGCCAAAATATTTGCATCGTCAGCTTCAAAGCGGACATCAAAGATCCGCGTGACTTTGTTCTGAAAGGGTAGGCCATTCTCCCCAGGCGTCACGTTCCAAATTTGCCAATTGGTGGAAAATTACTCGCAAATTACTCAATTGGGAGAATACACAGCAATCATCCCCCCCCCCCCCCCACTGTGAAACTACTGCAGACTGCGGCTGTGTAACACAGTGCGGCGCATACCCTTCGCGATCGCCTCGCGCTTCGAAAAGGCGCGCCAAATGCCACCTCTGCAAATGTTTCGACTCGATCGCAGGGGCGCAGATGGTGGTCACTGACCTCTCGGACAAGTCCCAGCGCGCCGACGCCTTGGGGAAGATCGGAGTGCTGTACGGCGTGGGCATGATCTCCGGATCCATGCTGGGGGGTCTGCTCACCAGTCACTACAGGTGCGAAGGCGAGCACGCGTCGAGCGTGTCAGCAACGCGTGCGTTCGTGTTGAGGGGCGCGCGGAGCCCTATGCGGCGGGTTGCCGCGCGTGTCCGGAAACAGTCAACATGTTTGGATGTGGTCGGAGACATCCACGTGAATTCATTGCGTCGGGCATTTTAACCATTCGTTCGTTCGTTCATTCATTCATGTTTCTATACACAGTCGTTCATTCATTCATTTCATGCATTAATCCAAAAAGTATTAGTCAATCCGTTCGTGCATTCAGCAATTGACGAAGACATGAATAAATTAGTTCACTCATGCATTAGTTCATTGATCCCTGCATACATTTGTGCATTCTACCATGCACTCGTGGTCGCATTAATTAATTTGCCAATTTTACGAGCCATTCATGCATTAGTTAATGCAATGCCTGTGGAATGCGTGCAGCCTGCATATGCAAAGTATATGAACATCCACCGCACTCCCATAACAGTAAAGGGAAATCCATAATGCTGTGTGTGTACCGGTAATGAGGAGCAGTCGTGTAGAGGTTAGCACGCTGCGCTGCGAGCCCAGTGACCAGAGTACAATTCTAGCTCACGGCCAACAACAGTGATTGGTACTGGGCCTCCCCTAGATGAACTCGGCCTCAAATGAGTAGCTAGTGCGTTGTGTAAACATCGCCACGAGGGAGACAAAGGTGGGCGCGCGTGGTGCTGGCCACCCACTCCACCTCGTGTGCCGTGCCGGCCTTCATAGGTGCTACTCGCTCACAGCACTTGCCCCAATAGTCTGTTAAGGCTACACGGGGGGTAGGGGGGGTCTTTGTCTTTTACTTTGCATCAGTAATCTAACCAATAGCCACCGGCGAACTTTGCTCGAGTCCTGACAATGCCACCCACTTCCAAAGCAAGTTTTTTTTGCGCCTGTTTGTATTTGGCGACGTCGCGACGTGACAATTGGCTTCGCGGACATTGCAAGTGTTTTATACATATCGGAGTAACTGTCCCGGGGCTGTGTCTCATCTTTGCACTTACACGAGCCGAACGCTGCCCCCTTCGAGTCACGGTGATGTCGACTGCAAGGCCCCTTGGCCCGAATTGGAATACGATTCATGGCCGCGGAGTATGGAGCCTCTCCCCACGTGGAATTAGCAAACTGCATTGCCTCAGATTCGTAGAACGAATATATCCCTGCCCAATAAGCATGCCAACGACATGCCTAAAAAAGGTGCCCAAAAAAGGTATCCCATGATACAGCTGCCCTCCCCGAGCTATAAATGCTCCGATACGTGTGGAATTGTCTTTGTGCTGTTCACCGTTTGGCGTTCTCAGGTCTGACACCGGCGGTGAGTCTAGGCCATAAAGAAGCCTGCTACCTCTGGTGCAGAGCAATCAGTTTCAAAGACGAGGTATCAGTTTGTGTGCACGCGTGTGATGAATGCAGACTTGATTCCTCGCAAAAAGCTATCTACTTGGTGGTTGGACATCTTCACACTTATTTTATTGCCAGAAAGGGTAAAAACCTATCCTTATTGTTCATAACATGCCAACCAACGTTGGCCAACGGGGTTGGAACTGGTGGCCCAACGTTGGATCAGCGTTCGACGCTTGCTGGGTTCGTGGTGTTCCTAGCGTGGTCCAACTGCTGTGTGGAGGAGAACCGATATTTCATACGTCATTACTGAAACCAACACGGAGGTACTCTTTGGTTTTTTCGGTAAAATCACGTAGGTTAAAAAAGAAAACAAATAAATTAAATCACGACGTTTCGGAGGCAACACAAGCCTCCGTCTTCAGGTGGAACCGTCACAGCAAAATTGCTGTATCTTGATACAGGAGGCGTTGAATCTAAAAGTTGAATACAAATCTACAGCAAGTTACAGAGGAAGAATCCCCCTCTCCATAGCCTTAACGGACTGTCTAGCGAGCAAGGCACTCAGTCTATTCACCAGCCCCCTGCAGCAAACTTTTAATGTGTGCGGTAAATTTGCCCCGATATGACGATACAAAGGTATATTTTAATTTTGGAGCTTTAGTGACTGCAGGAATTATTCTTTGGTTTTTTTCGGTAAAGTCACGTATAAAGATAAAATAAGAAATAAAAAAAGCATTTAATTATTAAATTTATTATTTTATCCTTATACGTGCCTTTATTTAATTATTTCATTTATTGCTTTATCTTTATACGTGACTTTACCGAAAAAACCAAAGAACAACGATATATGTAACGATTTAAGATCCACGATCATCGTTATCGTCCGTTTTGCGAACATATCGTTCTATCGTGAATATAATATTGATCATTATTTCATTAGTTCTCGCTTAAATGTAGTTTTTGCATCGTAAAATACTTGTGCATAAATCAAAGCACAATCATCAAAGTGGTGATGACATTTAAATAGCTATTATCCCATTATACAGCTGCCTTTGCAACATGTTTTCTGGAGCAATTGACGGAACGGTCGGTTATAAGACGACATACTGTTCATAATTGCTGCATATTATTTCCACTATAACTCACAGCACGATTGCTTTTGAGCATTGTTCATTGCAGAGTAAGGTTTGTCACGTAAGCAGAACGTGCCAATTCGTGACTAGTACAGCACACCGGTGTGTTGGAGAGCGAATCCACAACATTTACAATCCACAATATTTACAATCCACAACATTTACAATCTAGTTGTAATTACTGGCGAAACGTTGTTGATTTGCTCTCCAACACACCGGTGTTGCTGTACTAGTAACCAATTGGCACGTTCTGTTTACGTGACAAACCTTACACATTTTCTGTGTCGGGTGGTGGCGGGTTTAACGACACATTTATGTATTTACGCGATCTAACCAATCAAAACCTCTCATAGATGATATTGGTCGCGAAAGCCTACGTGTTGAACTGGAAGGTTTGTGTTGCGCAAACTGCAAGTTGAAGTACTCTTTATCGATCTCTGTTTGTAACTGGGAACACACAGAAGCATAACAATTCTACGATAACATTGCGAAATGCAATTGCAAAGTTGTGCCAAATTTATATCGCAATAATCGTCATATCGTGACATTTTATCTCGTAACATGCAGTATTCTGAAACGTTTTAACACGGAAACCCCCGAGTATTACCACCAGATGGCAGCACTGCCTTATAATTTATTGTTTGTTTATCTCTGCTTTCACTTTCATCATTAATATATTTCCTGAATTCAAAATTTGTATCTTGAAAATAGACGTTGAGCCTTTGCCTCCTCCCCCCCAATGGGTTTCATGGAACAGTCCCAAAAATGTATAACAGCACGTCACGATCATTCCAGAAAGTTGTACATTCTGTTGGACGTTTAAGAGTACAAAATGTAAGGGAGGACAGAGCCAGGAGTAGAGATCAAGTTCCAGTTCATTTATTTGGTATAGCCCTGTGAGCCATTCGGCTCTTGAATCGGGTGCAACCGCAACAAACAAAAAACAAAAACATGAACAAGAATACATCTTAAAGTGACTATGTGCTAACAGAAAATCCAAGAAAAGATAGCAAAATATTGCAGAAAAAGCACCGTACACCAACACTGTGTGCAAAAATCCCAGTGGGATGCAAGTCAAACAACAACAACAACCACAAGACAACTTAGATTAAGGCCATCAGTCTAACTCTATACTACAACAAACAAACATGGCCAAACCAAAAAACTTTTCGAAAATCACCAAAATAAAGCCATAAAAGCAATGAAACAGTGGTCATAGGAACTGTGGCCGAATTTTCACAATAAACGACGTAAACAACATGTACTACCAAACTCTGCAGCCATAGCTGGCTGCACGAGTCACTCCACAACAGCAGGAGCATCAGTCGGAGTATCAACATTTTTCAATGCACCTTTAAGATCAGCACACACAGATGCCAGGGTGAAAGCTCTGGAGCAGTGGTTCTTAACCTGGGATGCACGCAACTCCCTGGCGGTCGCGAGATGCCCTTTCTGAGAATCGGGCAGTTAAGGTTAAGAACCACTCACTGCTCTCGAGTCTAGAAGGAAAGTGATTGACTGATGCAGTAAACACTGCGCCCCAGATAGAGCACCGTAGAGGGAAATTAATTCGGCCCCTTCGTCGCTAATGAGTTGACGGAGGGTAGAAATTATGTTACAGAAGTGGCCGTTAAATAAGATTTACATTGTCGAAAAAAATAGTATAGGTTTACTCGAAATGCACAAACACATTTCGATTAGAATTCGGCTGAGTTATGCCTCTAATCCGTAATGGAAACACAGTAACACTGGCAGGACCAACGATTGCCGTGGATGAATTAACGAATGAATGAATGAATGAAAGAATGAACTAATGAATGAAGAGGGTAGCGTGAATCGCTGGCTGAATAGCCGACGTGAAGTGGGAGACGTGTAGCCACGAACGTGACCCAGGCTGGCTCCCGTCGGCAAAGCTGCCGACCGTCTGCTCTCGTTCCCACGTCTCGAGCTCATGGCTCGCGGCGCTCTCAGAGTCTATCTTTTATCCTGGAGAAATCCGATGAGATTCGAAGCTCTTCTTCACTGATGTCCAGTAGCTCAGCGCTGGGCCGTCACAGCACCGCGCGAAGCAGCACCCCTGAACTGTTGCACCTCGTCAGTCAAGTGGCCACAGACGAACTCATGGTCGGCCAAGTTGGGTTTCAATCGAACGCGAGTTTTGAACCCCCCCCCCCCCCCCGTGCATATCCAAATATGGATGATTATTATATGTGCTATAATAAAAATAAAACATAATAAAATAAAATACCGAAAGAACCAAGAAGATGAATCCCTGCAGTCACGAAAGCTTTAAATCTAAATGTGTGCTATAGTTTGGTCACTGGGATTCTGGGCAAGAGTGGGTTTCATGACCAGTATGCCTTCTCTAGTTTTGGGAAGGAATTATTGTGGATGCGCTCGATGGATACGTTAGCGCAGCTTTAGTTGGAGTAGAGTGTGTTTCCATCCATATATTTTCAGGTGACATTGAATTGACACTGGGAACAGAGGAAGACCTTTGCGAT